AAATTCAAGTTTACTATTGTTTCGGCGACTTCAGCATTCACAAGTTGTCCATCTTTCTTTTTATGTGCAGTAGTCCATAGCTTAATCCTTGTAATTGAAGTTGGATCTGAGAAACTTTTTTTCTATCAAATGAAATAAAGTTAAAACAACAATACAATAAAAGGTAAGTGAAATGCGAAGATGGAACAATTATGATCTTTACCATTTCTTCGGCCAGACGAGCATACCCCTTCTTGCTACATGTATGTGGAAGTTGTTTCTTTTTCATGGCTTTATATTTTTCACTTTTTAACTAATCCATAAAGAAACATCCAATATTTATAACATAAAAGATATGAAAAATGTAAAGTTTCATTTCTATAAGCTCAAAATTTGCATACCATGAAATATGCACTAGTCTTCTCATCAACAAAATCCATCCAATCATCGACGGATTCTATATTATCTGGCATAAGTTTCATAACTGCATCTTTTGTTGAGGCATTGCGAATTGCTTTTACAAGATGAGACTTACCAAAGCTCCATAATCTACCCATCTTTTGGAAAAAATAATTTTTCTGCCAATCTTCATTTACATTGTATCTTGACTAAAATTTCAAATACTTAAAAAGTTTAGAACATAACACAAATTGTAGGAAAAATATACATACTAAGTAAACCAAATAACTGCATACCTTGATAGACTTCCACAACACAACCTTCAACCTTGTAGGTAACTTCTTTCAATTCTCTAAATTCACTGGGACAACCTCTCTCACGAGGGGTCCAAGAAATGAAGCTAATCCTACAGATGTATCCCCAATTGGTTGCCCATATTCATTAAACGTTAAGTTCACTATCGACTATGTATCAACTGCTATTTTCTTCATCCGTGTAGGGCCTCTTGTTCTTTTTGGTAAAACTGTTGTTTCAGGTGGTTGTTTATTAGTTACATGATCTTCCTTTTCAAATGTATTTTCATTAGATGCTAGTTGTTGCCTACGAAGTGACAGTCTTGTACGAGTAGCTGGTGAATCAATTGTTGGTATTGATTTATGATTATGATCAGTAGTCTTCTCGTTAGGATTGGGTGAACAGGGTTGGGGAGAGGCATGGTTGGGCAAATTCAAATCCTCTATTTCATTGTGGATTTCTGTAGATAATTCATCTCTAAGGGCTATCGACTCTTCTATATGATGGTCATGCAACATTTCCTCGCTAGATATCTTTCTTTTTAGACATTTTCTAGTCACATTCAACTCATTAGCATTGCTTGACTTGACATTGATTATGTTGTCCTCTAAATAATCTTGTTCCTTCCTAATATCATCACAACTATCACGTACATGTTTGGTACGACCAGATCTTTTTTTTTAATGGTATTTAATCCCAAGACATTTGGCTTATGTTTGTTAGTTGGAAGTGGTGGCTTATTCATCTCAACTTTGTCCTGAAATCAAAGACAAAAAAGATAAGCATTATACACTAAATAGTTTTATAATTAAGGACTCTTACAATTTATAGTTGTTACTTACTGTCATTCTCGTTTTCATGATTTTGTACCTAGATAATCCAACGATATAATTGTAGTCTCTATCAATATAGACCTATAAGAATCATACACATCAGACTAAACAATTATAAATAGAGTTTACTTGTTAATAATAAGCAACAATCAATTAAGCATCTAACTAAGCTTCAAATCAATTTTCATGAAGACGTCTTTTCAAAAGAAATATTCAAAATATTTGTTATTGAGGGTTCATTATATGAAGTCCTCAATCACAATGTAATGTCAACAAAAAGTGGCTATACACAACAAAGCTTTTACAAGAAAACAAAATACAGTAAGTCCAAAAAATGTTCTTCAAATAAGCATGCCCTCACAGTCTTGTCTCGCATATGTCAGTCCACCATTTTCATATTTTTCTTCTAATGTAGTAGATAGTGGTTCAATAGTTATCTCTGTATCGACACAATTCTCATCATACATCTTCAAATCATGATATCCTCGTGGTGGTGCCTTTAATAAGACATACCAATTTGATGTGTCATGTTCTCTGACATAAAACACCTGTTTGGCTTGTGATGCAAGGAGAAAAGGCACTCGTATAAATATGTTTTGACTCTGATGTAAGTAAACAAGAGTGAGTCTTATTCAGACCTTACTCCATTGCGAACATTTGCCTAATCGCATTTAAAGATTGGAAGTTGGTGGACGTAATAGTCTAACAAAATAACTTCTTGTAACACCCCATAATAAGCAACTATGTTGACAACTTGGGCTCTATCTTTAGCACTGGACCTACATAATGTAGTTGCATCTATGGAAACACCACTATTTTGAGTTGATCGTTCCATACTCTTTATGTGAAATCGTTGTCCATTTATAATGTATCCAGTGTAGGACATTGCAATTTTTCTTGGTCCATTTGCAAGCCATTTCAACAAATCAAAGTAATTTGTAGAAAATGAATCTAATTCAATCTGGTAAGATGAAACATACTTATTTGTTAATTAAATTGTGTTATATTTTAATAATACATTGTAAGATAGAACACTTGACTAAATAAGGTAATATACAACCTTAGCTTTCAACCACGAGGGAAATTGTTCAGAGTGGATTTTCCAAAGCAGACTAGAATCTTTTATTAGTCTTCTATCTGAGACCATGAGCTCATTCATATGCATCCTAACCAAAGAAACAACCAATAAATAATGATTTTGTATTAAACTTAGTTAATATACATTAGCTAAACTGACTCAGTCAATAAACGATTCCACCTCTGCCGTGTTGAATAAGACATAACGATGTGCATTCTCAAGTTCATCAGCAGATAGTTTGATTGATGTTCCAGATGATATAGGACGACCCTCTAGAATGATATCATTAACGTATTCTAAATTACAATGTTCATTGTTAGCCACATCAACTGATTATTTAAAATAGTTTTTTGAAAAGTTAACACACTCATCAGCTAAGTAGCACGTTGCAATACACCCTTCTAGTCGTGCTTTGTTCCGTACGTATCCTTTCAATGTCTTCATATATCTAAATTCAACATATTGATTAAAAAGATGACCACAACTATCACCAACATATAGAAAGGAAAGTAATTTACCGTTCAGATGGGTACATCCAATGAAATTGAACAGGTCCACATATGCGAGCTTCACGAACCAAATGGATAACCAAATGTATCATTACATCGAAAAAGGAAGGTGGAAAGTACCTTTCAAGAAGGGACAGAATGTCTACTACATCTGTTTCAAGCTCTAGCAAAACTTCCCTAACAAGTACACGCTGACAAAGTCTTTTAAAATATAGACATAGTCTGTTAACCGCATGTCTTGGACCCTTTAGGAGTAAGCCTTTCAGCGCTACAGGTACGAGTTGTTGCATCAACACATGACAATCATGAGACTTCAACCCCATGACTTTGCATTCACTTAATGACATGCAATTTGAAATGTCAGAACTGCATCCATCAGGCAACTTTACCTTGTATAACCTTGAACAAAATAATCTCTTCTCAAATCTTGACAATGTGTGCGGAGCAAGGGGGAGGTAAATCCGACCACCTCGTTCTTCAGGATGTAGGTCAGCTCGTATTTTCAAACGTTGTAAGATCTGATTCAGACGCTCTTACCTAAATACTTGAGCGCGTTAACTTGAGGATGTGTGCGGCGCCGCTGAAAAGTGGGTCGGCGATGGAAGGAAAGACAGAAGTTTGGAGGGCTAGGGTTTTCTCTTCCCTTTTCTTTTGTTTTAAAACAAAAACCCACTTGGGCTAGGGTTTTCCATTTAGCTCTCTTTTGTTTTTTAAAATAAGGAAGACCCACTTACCCAAATACTTTTGTTAAAACAAAACAAAGCCCACAAACAAGAAATTAGAATCCTATTTCCAACCTCCTTAAGCCTAATTATATCCCATAATAGAATTAAGTAATTGGTCCAACGACCTAGGACAAATGCCAAAGAAGCGGACTCCTCGTTAAACAATAATTAAATAAGTACATACACGTCAATAAATCACAACAATTTCCGCAGCAGCTCAAAATAAAATTAAATGAAACATTTAAATTAAATTAAAAAGATTTCTAAGAAAAGAGGCCCCGAGACTCGAGAGTAACCTAACCTGAGTAACGCGGGGCGTTACAGACTTCCCCCCTTCAAAAACTTTCGTCCTCTAAAGTTCATTGATCGAACAACTCAGGATATCGGGCTCTGATCTCGTCTTCCCTTTCCCAGGTAGCTTCCTCCACTTGGTGATTCCTCCACAAGACCTTCACCAAGTTAATCGCCTGATTCCGCAGCACCTTGGTCTCTTTTGCTAAGATCTCAATGGGTACCTCCTTATAGCACAAGATTTCATCTAACTGCAGTGGTTCGGATTGCAAGACGTGAGAAGGGTCATGGACATACTTCCTCAACATGAACACGTGGAACACGTTATGCACTGCATCCAGCGACAGCGGCAAAGCCAACCGGTAAGCGATTGGGCCAATGCGCTCCAAGATCTTAAAAGGACCAATATACCTTGGACTAAGTTTTCCCTTCTTACCAAAACGTAGGACTCCATTCACTGGTGCCACACGAAGAAAAACGTTGTCGCCAACACCAAACTCCAATGCCCTCCGCCTAACATCAGCGTAACTCTTCTATCTACTCTGTGCCGTCTGAATTGTTGCCCTAATCCTTTGGATGGCGCCATTAGTCTCCTGCACCAATTCTGGTACCAATACGACTCTCTCACCGACCTTGTCCGAATGCAGTGGCGACCTACACTTTCTCCCATACAAAGCTTCATAGGGGGCCATGGCAATGGTCGCCTGGTAACTATTGTTGTACGTAAACTCTATTAAGAACGGATGTTTGTCCAAAGAACCACCGAAGTCTAATATGCACGCCTTCAACATATCTTCCAAAATCTGATTCAGACGCTCAGTCTGACCATCGGTCTGGGGATGCAACGCCGTACTAAAATCGAGCTGCGTCCCCAAACTTCGCCAAAAAGTTGACGTGAAACGATCTGACACTATAGACACTGGTATGCCATGGAGTCTAACTATCACCTGCAGATACAGTTCCGCCCACCTTTCTACTAAATAAGTGGCCTTGCCTGGTATGAAATGTTCAGACTTTGTTAAGCGATCCACAATCACCCAAATCACTGTGAACCCTTTAGCCGTCCTTGACAACCCTGTAATGAAGTCCATGGCTACGTCATCCCATTTCCACACGGGTATACTTAGAGGTTGCAACAACTCGGCGGGTCTCGGTCTTGAGGCCTTCACGTGTTGACACATCAGACACCTACTAACAAATTGGGCAATTTCGCGCTTCATGTTGTGCCACCAATAGTGTTTCTTAAGATCCCTATACATCTTGGTATTCCCAGGATGCATCGAGAATGAGGTATTATGGGCCTCGGTTAATAAATCCTTCCTTAAAGGGAAGTCTTTTGGCACACACAGTCTCCCCGGTAAGTAGGGCCGTATCCTCTACAAGAGAGAAATTTCCTTGACCCACCATTCCGAAACCCTTGCTTAGGTTGGAATCTCCCCTTTGTGCAGCGATGACCCGCTGTCTTAAGGTGGGTTCAACCGAGAGTCGAGCTAGCACTGCCGAGACATCTTCCATCACCACCTCAGAACGGTCCAACTCGTCCAATACCGGTCTAGGAGGCACTGCCGGGGGTGCTACGCTCGATGCCCTTCTACTGAGTGCATCGGCAACCATGTTCGCCTTACCCGGATGGTAATTGATCTCACAGTCATAGTCCTTTACCAGCTCTAACCACCTCCTCTGCCTTAGGTTGAGTTCTTTCTGAGTGAAGAAATATTTCAAACTTTGGTGATCGGTGAAGATCTAAATCCTTTCCCCATACATGTAGTGTCTCTATATCTTCAAGGCAAACACCACCGCAGCAAGCTCCAAATCATGGGTGGGGTAGTTAAGCTCGTGTACCTTCAACTGCCGCGAGGCATAGGCAATGACTTTCCCATGTTGCATCAGAACGCAACCCAACCCCCTCCGTGAAGCGTCACTGTACACCACTAAACCTCCCGTCCCATCCGGTACCGTTAGCACGGGGCCGTGACTAACCGCTGCTTTAGTTCTCGAAAACTGTTCTCGCATCCATCGCTCCAAGCGACAGTGGCATTCTTACCGGTCAACTGGGTCAAAGGCGCCGCCAATCAGGAGAAATCTTTGACAAACCTCCTATAATAGCCGGCTAGTCCGAGAAAACTGCGGATTTCGGTCACTGTACGAGGCCTTGGCCAACCACTGACCGCCTCTACTTTGGCCGGGTCCACGGCAATAGCCTCCCTGGTGACTATGTGGCCAAGGAAGGCCACCTTATCCAACCAAAACTCGCATTTCGAGAACTTCGCATACAGGCTGTTTCCCCTCAAGGCGATAAGGACCTATCGCAGATGTCCTTCGTGATGTTCTGCTGACTTGGAGTAAATTAAGATGTTTGTTAATAAACACAATTACAAATAGGTCTAAAAATTCCTTAAAAACCCGATTGATGAGATCCATGAATGCCACAGGGGCATTGGTGAGTCCAAAAGACATCACGGTAAACTCAAAATGCCCATACCTGGTCCTGAAGGCTGTCTTTAGTATGTCGGCGTCCTTAATTCTCATCTAATGGTACCCCGATCGTAGGTCTATCTTCGAGAACACCCTTGCTCCTTTTAGTTGGTCAAAGAGGTCATCGATGCGAGGAAGGGGGTACCTATTCTTTGTTGTCACCTTGTTCAATCCTCGGTAGTCAACACAAAGTCGCATAGATCCATCTTTCTTTTTCACAAAAAGCACTGGAGCACCCAAGGAGACACACTTGGGCTGATGAAGCCCTTGTCTAAGAGTCCTTTTAGCTGTGCCTTAAGCTCCTTAAGTTCCGCTGGAGCCATGCGGTACGGTGCCTTTGAAATGGGGGCTGTCCCGGGTAATAAGTCGATGCAAAAGTCCAGTTCACGGACAGGGGGTAGCCTCGGAGGTCTTCAAGGAACACGTCTGGGAACTCTTTGACCACGTGGACAAAGTCGATATTGGGTGGAGTCTTACTAGTGTCAACGACACTGGCCAAATAACCCCAGACACCATTCTGTATAAAACGCCTTGCCTTCAATGCCGAAACTGTCCTTGGAACTCCACCCATAACTCCTTTAAACGTAAAGCTCCGACCCGAAGGTAGTTGGAAGCAAACTTCCCACCTCGGGCATTTAATGTTGGCTTGGTTGGTAGCTAGCCAATCCATGCCCAATATGACATCAAATTCCCGCATGTCCAGCTGGATCAATCTTGCCTTTAGGGTCTGATTGTCAAAGGATAACTTGCCTACTCTCACCATTTGACTAGTAATCACAACTGACCCTGATGGCGTAGAAACTGACAATAAAAACCTTAAAGGCTCTAGTTCGAGGGTTGCCTGACGAACAAACGCAGTGGAAATAAAAGTGTGACTTGACCCAGAATCAAACAATGCATAAGCAGGCACATTATGGACTAAGACTGTACCTAGAAGATAATGCAAAGGTAAAGACATAGTGTAACGCCCCGCGTTACTCAGGTTAGCTTGCCTCGAGTTCCGGGAAATTTTTATAACAAAATAGATTTTATTTCTTTATTTCATTTTATTTTGTTTGATTCATAAGTTATCTTTATTTAATTTAAGTGTGGCATCTCAGTTATTGTGTATTGCTACAAAATTAGTGGTGAGTTAGTCGCGTGTAGTTATTTATCAAATTATGGTTGAGTACGGATTCTGTTATGTGACACTTGTTTTGGGCCATTAGGCCAATTACGAAATTATATTATTGGCTTGTTTTAATAAGGAGGGGTTCGGTAAGTGGGCCTTAAACAAAAGGAAAAGAACCCAAGCCCAAAGGAGTTAAAAGTTTAAAACAAATAACCCTAGCCCTTGTTCTTTTTCCTCTTCTTCTTCCTCCCT